ATTACTTGATCAAATTAATTCCATTACATAATTTCCTAGGCAATGAAGAATCGAAACCAGTAATGGCATCGCTGAAACAATTTTATAACAAGAAAATATAAAATTAACGAGACGCATATAGCCATGAATGAGCTATACCGCAATAGCGAGAGCGAAATTGCAAATACTAAACGCATAAATGCAAGATAACAGAGAATTTCTCAAAGAGGAAGCTGATGGAGAAGAAATATTACCTGCAATTCGAATGTGCAGGTGCAATCGCGGTGAATGGCTTGATGGGCACAAGGGTTTTTAGGGTTTCGAAAATCAGAAGAGGTAAACGACGATGAAGATGAAGATAGAATTAAATAGAAATTTCTATAAATAAACGCTCAAATGTGCAACGTACATCTTAGTTGTAGTACACAGCCAAAAAGCTACAAAACTGGGAAAAAAAAAAATGAGCCCAAACATACGTATAATTGTTTGTTGTTGTTGTTTTTTTAAAGTGAAAAAATTCCGATTAGGTTTTTTATACATTGTTCGACTATTACTTTTCATAATTTGAGGAAAAAAAATGACTATTATCTTTAAGCTTTCATAAATTCAAATTTGTTCTATTTGTTGCAATTTTGCACCAAATCATACTATATTTAATATAATTATACACAGAAACCCAGGGGCGGATGTACACTTGGTCCAGTCTGGGCAACTGCTCAGGCTGGATTTTTGCTGCTAATATATGTAGTTATAATTTCTAATTAAATATTTCAAAAAAAAAATGTAAAATTTGAGAACTTGCGAGACATAATAAAAACAATTATAAGTTTTTTTAATAGTCTATATAAAACAAAGTCTATCATTATCTCTATGTTCTCTTCTATAATTAAATTTATTGAAATGAAAATCGATGATGAGACTATTGCTGATCAAAGAGGACAATGTAATTTGTTGCTTGTGCAGATACAACCCTTTGATTTCATATTTTGTCTTCTTGTAATGAGACAAATTTTACACTAACTAATGAGTTATGAATAGAATTATAAAAGGATGATCAAGATATTGTCAATGTTATGGATTTGGTCAGGACAAGTAAGACCTTGATAGTTTATAAAAACTAGAAAAAATATTTATTTATTTTTCTGTTTAACTAGAGCTTATTTTAAAATGGTTAATGTGATTAGTTGTGTGTGGAAATTTAAAATTTATTAAAATAATATTTGAAAAAGAATAATTAAAATTGATTGATGTAAAAGTATGAGATATATGATTGGAAAATGATAGGTAGTTAAAATTGTGTGAGTGGATTAATAGTGAATTAATGTAATGTGTAAGAATGGTTGAATGATATTATTTAGTTATATTAATAATATAGAAGATGATGTGGTTGAGTTAAAGTCTTTTAGATTTAGAATTAAGATATAATATTTTTTTTCTAATTTTTTTTTAGAAAATTGATAAACAATCACGATCGAAACAACTCAAAAAAATGAGAAGAAGAATGTGAATGGAAAAATTTCTTGCACAAGGTAAAGTCGTATGTAATAAGCACGGTATAAAAAATTTCGAGCACTTTTTTATTTTATATTGCCGTGCCTGATAAAAATTTATACATCTGCCGCTGCAGAAATCGAAAATAAAAGCCAAAACCAACAATATATTTCAGTTCAGTTACGTTCGGTTAATTTAGTGTACAAAAGTTGCGCGCCTTTACTCACCTTGAGGGGGTGTTTGGATACAGATTTGTTCCGTTTTAACTCTTTTTGGTTGAATAATTTGAGATTACCTTGTAATATTAAGTATGATATTTTACACTTGACGTTTGTAATATCAAATAATAATAATAATCATATTAATTTTATTAATTTTAAGGTGATATGTTTTAAAAACCTGAATTATTGACAAGAATGTATCGTACTTGACCCAAATTTATAGATGTTGTCAACAAAGAAGAAATTAACCAACGTCTATTTTATTAATTGAAGGTGATATGTTTCAAACAATTTTGTTATGGAGTAATCGGATGACTTGACTTACGGAACCACCCACACCTATTCACAAATAATGTATTGACATGTGTCCTACAATAAATACACTTTAGACATGTATCAATACATTAAAATATAAATGTATATAAAAAAGAAACGTTTGAATACAAATAAAAATTAAATTATAAAATATAAATTTCTGACTAAGCGTTCATGACGTATAAATAGAAATAAAAATGAGAATGAAACAGAAATTTAGTGATGTTTTTTCAGTCACTTTTTCATCTTTTATTCATATTCTAATATTCTTTACTTATCATCATGATATAAATCATCAAATTAATAATTATTTTTCTAATTTTAGTAATAATATTTTCTTATTAAAAGTTACAAGAAATGAATATGTACTGTGTAAAAATTATTCCACTTTATCTTGATTGTTCATTTTATTAAAATTGTTGCATGTATATTTTGTGTTTTAATTATAGTATTTATCATCTTATGGCATTAGGAATTTATGTGGAATCTATATATATATATATATCTATACTTATATTAAAAGCAATACTATTTACTAAATGTAGTATGTAGAATAGTCAACCCTAATTAATGTTTTACTATTTTTATCAAGCATTTAATTAATGCATCTAATATTTTTGGTATGCAAATCAAATTAGCATTTAATTAGTTCCTAAAATATTGGGTATGCAATATTAATTTAGGAATATCCATGTATTTCCTAAAATGTTGGTATGCAATACATAAAAGAAGATTTTTTAATTTTTTTAAATAAAAAATATTGCAACACGTAAAACTATTCCAGTTATTTTTTATTTTATTTTGCATATAAAATCTAATCAATATTTAATGGATCCTACAAAATTAGATTTAGTTTAATTCTCCACACAATTGGTTATAACTTTTTCAGTTGTACTTTTTTTATTTATTTATTTTACACTTTTAAATTAATTAAGCTCTCCGAAAATACCAAATCAAATAATTTATGAAAGTTTTTTTTTTTTTTTT